TCTCTCTCTCTCTCTCTCTCTCTCTCTCTCTCTCTCTCTCTCTCTCTCTTTCTCTCTCTCTCTTCCTTCTCTCCCTCCCCCGCCTCATCTAATTTCAAATGGCAGTCATAATTATATAATATGGGCACTTTCTTCCCTTGTAGGGTTGGATGTTTGGGGCAACCGCTGTTCTTGGGTTTGTCCTACCTGCCTTTTTATTACTACTTGAATGGCAAGACCTCAAGAAGAGGCTCAGGATCAGAGAATGGGATGAAGGAAAAGGGCTGATGTCGTGGCTAACCTTGTCTTGCCCTTGGTGTCTGATGGGCTATACTCCTGAGTTCATCAGGTGAGATAACTGACCCATAAGAGAGTTTACATAACTTGTCCAAAGTCACACTGCTAGGAGTGATGAAACTGATAGGCCCCTGGAGCCAGCCTCCAGGCCCCATGGTCTTAACCACATTTGACATACACCCTTTAGGTCTACCTAACATCCCACCATCCCTACACACTCTACTAGCCAAGAATCCAACTGGGCCCTCCTAAGTGTTCCTTATCAACTTCCGTTTTCGCCCTGCAGGCTGCCAAGTAGGCTTCACATCTGGCCCACATTCTTAGTCCTCTCCCTCCTTGTCCACATCTGCTGAGTCACTTGAGTTTGTTCTTTCTTCCCTGGAGTAGTTCTTCACACCCTCACCTCCTTTTTGGTTTCACTGCCACCCCCAAGTCCAGTCCTTCATGATGTCATGCCTGAACTCCTGTAATTATTCCCCAATTTGTTTCCCGATTTCTCCCTTCCTCCTATACCTCTGACTTCATTAATTTCCCCAGAGCATCACTCTGCACATTGGCTTCTCCATGCTTCGGATCTCCAGGGCTGCCCCTTTAGCGAACCTATGCCCTTCCCCAGCATCTCCAATGTTATATATGTCAACTTCTCTCATAGAATCCTCATCTGCTATGAAGTTGATTGCTTCCTCAACTTTCCACATGTCTTGTGTTTTCCATACCATTTCCCTTTGAGTTCCCTCTATAGTGAATGACCTTCATATCGCTCTCTCCACTTGCCCAAGTTCTAGCCTTTCTTCAAGGACTGCCTTAGGTACAATGCTGTCCATGGAACATGCCAAACTTTTCAGATTATTGCCACTTTCTGAATCTTATAACACTGTTTGGACCACACCTTTGGTTCTAAGCCATGGATGCCATCATCATCTTTTATGAGGACACCTGGCCTCAGCTACTACCTTACATACTCAGAGTAGATCTTAGCTCGACTATGACCAAACGTCCAAGCATCTCTAATTTTCCAGGAAAATTTTGAGTTAAAATACTTTCCTTATTGT